CACCAGGAACCTAGTTCCCAAGAAATTGACCCCAGTTGTAAAATAATCAGGTTACTGATAGCACCTGCTCCTAGTTACCCGCCATGGATACAGGCGCGTTTCTACCATTTCCCCTCTGCTCTCCCATTTTCTCCTCCTCCTAGGCTGGGCAGTGGTTGGTGCTGGTTTGCCTGCAGAGGAGGAAGGGCCGCAGAACCTGGGTGGAGAGAAACTGAACCTGCCCGTGAATTTTGGACCGCAGATAAGAGCAGGGAGGGTTCGGTCGGTTCCTCTCCTTCTGCCCAGAGTCAGGGCTCCCAGACTGGGGTGTGTCCCAGCAGCTGGCTGGGTGCTGCCCGCCTGCTCCCCACACATTCTGGAGTTCCCTTTTCAGGAAGCCCATTGTTGCTGTCACCTTGAGACCCGCAATGGCTCAGGCCCTTTGGGGGCCGAATGAGGGACTTTTATCAACAGGTGGCAAGGCTGTAGGCTTCAAGGTGTCTGAGGGCAGAGGTAAGAGGAGCGACTGCCTGGTCACTGGGGAGAGAGGGCCCAGAAGTACAGGACCAGATATACTCTTATTTTCTAATGAAAATGTCACTGAAGTTTGCGAATGAAAGGCAGAAATGAGTAGACCAAGTTCCCTTGAGAGTCCAGAAGGCCAAAGCAAGAGGTGCCTGACTCGTGACCTCTGGCTGAGCAAGGAGAGCACCCTAGGTCAGGGCCTGAGACCCCACCACTCCCAAGCCTGTGCTGGCTGCCTCCCGCAGCTCCCCCCACACCCCGGCCCCGACTCTAGCATCTCCCCCGACCCGTGCTGCGCAGCCACTGATGGGCTCGCCGCTGTGTGTGCTGGTGATTGCCTGTGTAATTAGCCCGTTCCCCAAGCCCTGGCTCTGTGGGAGTGGGTGAGGTTTCAGTCTGCCCTCCGCAGCTGTGGGCTGTGCTGTCACAGGCCGGTGGCAGAGGGGTCTGGGCATGCTTCTCTTCCAAGACCACCCCAAAAGTCCAGTTGTGGCCGCTGTGTAAGTTCGACCAGGACTTTACTCTTTTTCGGCTTGTAAGTCGGGTTAACCACACTTGATTTCTCAGAAAAAATGGCCATAGCAGTAGTGTAAAAATGTGGACTAGAACCTCCGCCTTCCAAGCCAGGGTTCATGGAGCAGAGTCCCGGGGGGAGGGCACCCTCTGGGGCCTGCTTGAGAGTCCGTGGGTAACTGGGGAGGGCGTGCACAACCCCGTCTCTTGGCCCTTACCAGCAGGTCACAGGTTTTCGCTGGTGTCTCTCTCTAGGTAACAAGGTCCTAGAGGGAAGGAACCTCAGTCATCTGTGTCCCCAGCACAACACGAGCACATAGTAGATGCTCACTAAATGTGTGCAACCTCATTGAGGGAGCGTGTGTAAATACAGCTTCGTCTCCCTTGAGTGTGCTTTGGTTCTCACCCTGAGACACTGTGTCGCTCAGGAGCCTAGCTCTCTGGGTCGGAGGGCAGAGGTGTGGCCGCACTGTGGGGTGGGCTCTGGGTGCAGAACGCCTGCCTCCGGAGCCCTGCTCTTCCACTCGCCGTGGGGCCCTTGGGTGGCTGGGGCAGGTCTCCAAGGGGCAGGCCTGACGTGGGTGCCCGCCGTTTGATTCTGTTTAGTTTAGTTTAGTTTTTGGTTGGTTTGTTACGGAGCAGTTGTGAGGAATTCTCCTAAAACCCTTGTCCCAGAGGCCCTTGTGTGTGGGCCCTGGTGTTCTTCATTATCGGGTGATTGGGAAGTCAATGGGAAATGCAGCTCACCTCTTCCCAATTAGACTTGTCCAGGCAGGGAAGGGTGGAGGGGGTCATCTTGGTGGCTGGTCACAGGAGGAGAAACCCCAGGCTCTGCAGGGTGGCAGCGGTACGGGGGTGGAGACAGGCACAGCAGGGAGACCCTGCCTGGCTGTTCCTCGACGCCACCTGTCTGCTCGAATGCAGGGCTCATCTGGTCTCCGTTCAGGAGCTGTGTGCCGTGGGACCAGGTCGCCACTGGCCACATCCTCCTTCCACACCAGCACCATGCCAGGTGTCTCCGCCACTTCACTGCGTCTCACAGGCTGCATGGGGGGGTCTGGGAAACCTCCAGCCTCATCCCCACCCCTGGAAGGACTTGAGATCATCCAGGGACAGACAGGGCAGAGCCCCACTGTGGGTTGACACGGCGCAGCTGTGGGGAGGGCTCGGGTGCCTCCATGCAGGGACTGCCGGTGCCGGCGGACGGATGCTGTGAGAACTTGGCTGAGGCCCGAGCCAGAGCTGGTGGGTGAGACAGGTGTGTGTTCAGAACTTGGGTTGTGGAGTGCCACAGGAGGGCGGGTGCTCCAGCTGAGGGGGACAGGGGGGCAGAGACTGGGCGGCAGGAAGGAGGGTGTCTGGGCCTTCAGGATTGAACACCTCTGGTTCCACAGTTTGTAAGCTTGTGACCTTGGGCAAGCGCCTTAACCCCTCAGAGCCTCAGTTTCTCACCCGTACGATGGGGCTGATAAGTAGACCTACCTGGTGGGCCTGCAGGGAGGATGAAATGAGAGGGCTAAGGGGAGCACTTGGCACCTGGTGAACTTGGCATCTGTGAATGTTTTCAACTTGGCAGAGTGCGGGCAGAGCGTGGGCACCCGGAGTGCTGCACCCAGCGGTTCTGCCTCCTCCCTGCTCCTCCGTGAGGACACCGTGTTCGGTGGAACCGTCCACAAGCCTTTCTCTGGGCTGCAGACGGCCCCGCCCCGGGTGATGGGCTGGGGACCCTGCTATGAGGCTCCACTGCCCCCAGCCTAGCCCCTGGCCACAGTGGCCTCCAGGCTGCTCCTCAGACCCCCCACCCCCCCACTGGCACGTGCTGGTGCCCAGAAGTCTCCCTGTATAGAACCCTCCCCCGCCAGGGCAACCTTCCTCACTTCCCGTGGGCTTCCGCTCAGGTGTTTCCTAAGCAGCGAGGCCCTCCCCAGCCACAGGCCCCTCTCCCGGTGCCTCTGCTTTGTCTTGCTCTGGTCCCTCCTCCCCAAGGGCTGATGTGTTTTTCTGCTGATTGTCATCCCCTCTCCTGCTGGGCAGCGAGGGCCAGGATTCTGTCCTACCCAGCACCTAGCAAGTGCTGGGCTCATAGTAAGTGCTCAGTAAATACCTGTGGACTGAAGGCAGGAAGCGCCTTGACTCGGTGGGGCTTCCGGTGCTAATGGGTTCAGTCTTTTAGATCCTGAGTGCTTCAGCAACACCCCAGAGCCAGGAGAGGGCCTCCCTCCCTCAGGGCTGACCCTGAACGCGGTGTGCCCTGGGCAGCCAGGAAGGAGCAAGGTGCCCAAGCAAGGATGCCCTGTTCCTGGCTCCCGCGGAGCCTGGGTGGCCTCTGTATCTCCCAGGGTGCTCTCTCCTGCCAGCCTCCCCCTCACTCTTAGGGTCCATCCTGGGAGTACAGGGGAAAGTTTTGTTGTCCCTTTGTGCAGAACACGTGTGCCCCTCCGGGTGTAGAACAGGGTCTGAGTGAACACGAGTGAGTGTGTTTTCACCCCAGGAAGATTGGGCAGTTGCGCTTATGTGTAGGGAGCAGGGCAGCCTGGGGGAGGCAGGCCGAGTGTAAGTGTGGGGGTGGGCAGGAGGGGGAGAGGGCACAAGAGGACACATGGCCTCTGTCCCCTGAGGCTCCAGGTAGGCCTCATGGGGACCCCCGAGCTGGGCAGAGCCAGCGTGGTGGCCCGGCTCACGTGCTCCAGGTCCAGCCTCGAGGACCAGGTCCAGCCGCACACTGGCTGCTGCACAGAAGCTGTAAATTCCAGGAAACTCCCTGCCAGCCCAGCGTGGCGGGGGAGGGGCGGAGGCTAATCCACGCTGGTTCCCTCGCACTTGGAGAACAGATGTGTCTGCCTCGGGGACAGCCTCGGAAGAAAAGTTCCAACCAAAGTGTGTTTGCTCGTTATAAAAGAGTTGTCTGTGAGGGGGCCCTGGAGGGAGGCTTTTTTTGGAGGAGGAACTAGGGGGGCTCTGCCAGAGGTCCTTGCTGGGGGCCCACAGATGCCATTGTATCTTGCTAGAGGGGAGAGGGGAGGGGGCGAAGCCAGCTCGGGGTGTGGGAGCTGCTGGGTCATCTTTCTTGCGATTTACAGCCAACTCCCAAACACAGTTGCTCGCAGCTCCTGAAAGAGGCTGGGCCAAGTAGGAGGTGGGGTCCCTTCCCGCTGGAGGGCTGGATTGCCGGATCGCAGGGGCCCCGCCCTGGGGGTTCCCAGATGACTGGCCAGGGGCTCACTGAAGCCAGCCAGGGGAGAGGAGGCAGGCGTGGTCCTCTCCAGCAGGCCCTCCGGCTGTTTGGAAGGCCCTGGCGGCCCCCCAGGTCCTTGAGCCAAACCCCCTTTGCGGTCTGATTCGAACCCTCCTCGCCTGCCTCACCCCCTTCCTTCTCTGTACTTCTGGGCCTGGCCTTTTCAGCCCTGGAAGCTGCCCAAGAGCATATCTTTGAAGCACAGCAAAGGTTAGGAAGGAGGAAGACAGAAATGTCCTCTGGGTTGGGGGAGTGGGAGAAAGGAATTCCATGCACGCTCCCCGGGAACCGGAGTCCTAGTGGGGGCGATCGGCCTGGCCTCGGCAGTGCGAGCCGGTCCTGCCTCCCCTTCTGGCGGCCGGGCCCTGCGCACAGTGAGCTCTCTTCTCCGGGCTGTGGGCCGCCAGTGGGGAGCGGTGGCCCTTGTTTACAGTGCTTGTCTCAACCTTGGCTCACGAGGGTAAGAGCCAGGCCCTGCTATCCGCCCTCACAGGATGCAAGACCTCATAATTGTCTTCAATTACAGGCAGCACCGGCCCTCAGCCCTGGCTTCCAACAGGAACCAGAGCCCGAACCACTTCCATGGGGGGCAAGGGGAGCCACCCAGCCCCTACGGCAAGGTTTGGGGGCTCCCTGTGGCTTTTGGGCACTTCCAAAGCCCACAGCCCACGGGGCTCAGCCAGACTGCTGCTCTGGAGCTGCATCAGGCTGGGCCTGTTGAACATCCGCCTTCTTTGTCCCCGATCAGGATGAAACTTCTGTGAGCAGTGAAGATTTTGATATGAACGACTCCACATGGATGTCAGCTGACCCACACCTGGCCTCCAGCCTGAGTCCCAGCCAGGACGAGAGGATGCGGAGCCCTCAGAACCTCCACAGCCAAGAGGATGGTGAGTGTCCCTTGGTGGCCGGCGGGGAAGGGGCCGCACCTGGGACCCGGAGGCCTAGGAATCTGGGGTGGTGGAATCTGGGCTGGGGGCTCTAGGGGTGGCTTCCAGCTGCCCCTGGTGTCCTGGGTATCTCCGCCAGTGCCCCAGCCCCTGGTGCCAGGGGAGCAAGTCCTCCTGAAGGGAACAGGATAGAGCTCTTGGGGGCCGGCAGCCCGGCAGGTGTCCTGTCTGTGTACCCTGATGCTCGCAGGCTGGTGGGATACGGATGTCGGATGTGGAAGTTACCCCAGTTCAGGTCTGGGAAGGTCATTAGCCAAGGACCCGGAAGAGTCCAGCCGCCCAGCAGTGAAAGCACGAGTTGGACATCTGTAGCTTGACGTGAGGCTGTAGGACAGGGTCCCTGCCTGTCACCTGTAAGCCAGCAGGCAGTGCACTTGTCCACTGTGTGTCCCCAGCCTCTTAGGATGGGAAGTGGCCCGGCTGAGGAGCTTCCCCAAGCTTTGGCCCCCCCGCCCTCCAGAACTGGCCAGGCAAAGTCCTCTGGCCTCCCTCAGAACAGATGCTTTCTCCTTGGGATGGGAGAGCTGGGCTCAGAACTCAGATCCCAGGGGTCCACTCTGGAGGGTCTCTGCAGAGCCCCCAGGGGGCCGGGGCTCTGGGAGGACCAGCGCCTCTTTCAGCTACAGGCAGTCGCGGGTGTGGGGTGGCACCCATGGTCAGCGTCTCTGGTGGGGCTCCGTCTGGTTTTCAGGGAGGTGATGGGGGTGGGGGATGAGCCCAGGGCTGAGCCTCAGAGATGTGGGGTGTAGAGCCTGCAATTAGGAGGGGTCAAAGGTTGGGGCCTGGAATGCCGGAGGGAAGTGCAGTGTTAAAAAGGGGTGTAATGTTAACTCTGGGAAACGGGTTAGCCTTAAAAAGTAAATAAGGGGTAGGAGCCTTGCAGTTTGGGTCAAAGTTCGTCTCCATGGCAGAACCCGCGCCTGCCTCCCTCCTGCCCTCGCAGGCCTGAATCCGGCTTTGTCTGGGAGGAGACCAAGCCTGGAGGCAGCTGGGGAAGCTGGGCCAGGGGCTGGGGAGCCCAGAGGGTGGTTTTGCCAGGACTGGGGTACAAGGCTGCTGGGAAAGAAAAGACTTTTGTGCCCTGACACCTCGTGAGGTCAGCACGACCCCCTCGTGCTGTGAGCCTCCCCACCAGAGCCTCCCAGACCAATACCACCTCCCAGTATTCCCACGGGTGGAGGCAGCCACATGCTACTGGGGGCTCAGGGCTGGGAAGTGCCCAGCAGCTGACCTCCCTCCTCATCTGAGCTGAGCGAAGGCCACACCAAGAGCCAAGCCTGCAGAACTCAGCCAAGGGCGTAGGGTTATACCTTCCCAAGAAGGATCCAGAACATTTTTTTAAAAAACAGAGTAGTAGGACTGAATGGGGGCCATATTTCTTCAACTCATTCTTTTAAAAAATTCTTACATTACCGTTGCTCAAAACCACCTTTTGGGAGTCTGATCTCTGTTGGAGACACTTCCCAGGGAGATTCGGCGCTTTGGGTAGTGGTGGGGGGTGGTCTGGTCCACCAGGATCAGGTAGCAGAAGGGAGTGTTTCTGTGGGGGTCACAGCTTCCTCAGCATCAGTTTCCCAGCTGCCTGGGGCTTGGTTGATCGGGAAGATGAAGTGGAGAGAAGCAGCAAGACTGCGGGGAGGGGGTGGCGGGCAGCGAGACCTGTGGCCGGTTCCATGGGAGCTCCAGACCGGGGCCTGCCTGGGCGTGGTCCTGCATGTCCCTGTCCTGGTCCCAGGGCTGAGGCAGGCTGGCCTGCGGACAGGACCAGGGTGTTTGTTTATCAGGGCGGGCCAGAGCTGGAGACAGGGAGGTTGGTGTTGACTGTGATACCATCAATTTAATTATTTAATCAGAGGCTGTGTCTGGAGGCTGTGGACTGATCGGCAGGCCAGAGGCAGACCTAAACCCGGCACAGGGGGTCACAGGGCTTGAGAAGGCCCAGCTGTCCAGCCCGGTCTCTGCTGCCCCTTCTGGTTCTAGAGCTGTAGGTGACTGCGGTGTTTCTCCAGAGCAGTGGGTTCCCGCAGGGTTTTGGCTGGGTCCAGAGCTGGCCCAGAGTCTTCGTCCTGCCCTCCAGGCCCCACGGTGGCATGTAATCAGCTCCCCAGTCTGACGGTGCTCACAGTGTAGACACAGGCCAAGATCTGGCTCCCATCAGTGAGTCGACTGGAGACCGCCAGACTGCAGAGTGTTTTCATGTCCCCCTGTTGTTAACGACGGGCTGGGGTGGGGACAGGCCGGGCAGGGGCTCAGGTTGACTGTGTACTCTGAACCCAACCGGCAGCGCTCTGTGGTGGCTTGCTGTGTGGTCTCTGGCCGTTAGTCCTCCACGGAACTGGCAAATTGGAAAGATGAGGTCTGAAGTTCCCATTGTGAGTTCTGCAAGGCACAGCCCATGTCATTCTTGCTCTCCGCTCCGTCCGCAGTGACTTCAGCTGCTTGCTTGGCACGCTACAGGGGTCCGCTGACCGTTGTTGCCTGAATGGAGAAAGAAACATTTATCCACACCTGCCCCTCAGTGCACCATCCGGAGGGGACATAGGTCCACCCTTTGTTGGGGACAAGTTGGGTTCTTTGCTCCTGAGGACATCCCCAGTCTGAGTACCTGGGTCTCTTTTCCCTTAGCCAGAAAGTGTGGGGGCCCCCAAGGCTGTGCCAGGGAGTTACCCCCTCCGGCCCAGAAGCATCTCAGGAAGGCAGGTGGTTTGTACATGACTCACACCTGTTGGCAGATGTGTTGGAGGCCTCCTCTTTCTCCATCCTTCTTCTCGCTCTCCTCCTCTTCCTCCTCCCCGGTGTCCCCCCCCACCCCCCACTTTTCAAACTGTAACAAATGCAGATGAAATCTGGCAGGCAGGGCAGGTCCCAAGGCTGAGACCAGAAATGAATTGGTGCCCCCGCTCCTCCCCGCCGCCCCCCACCCCAGGGCTTGTCTCTGGCTCCCCCGGAGTGGGAGTGTCCTGCCCTGAGCCCCACGCAGCTGTGCCTCCTCCCCCAGGTCCAGCAAGCCTCCACGCCATGGGTCTCTCATGAGGGTGCCATTCGCAGCCCCCCAGAATCATAGCAGCAGGCCTGGGGCTGGGGGGAACCACGTGCACGGGGCTTCCTCCCTGGGGGCTGTAGCTGCCGCGGGGGGTGCACATCTCTCTTGTCCTCCAAGACGTGGGAGATGAAGCGAATGGGGGTGATCGGACCAAACTCAGGAGGTGGCGCCGGGGCGGCCTTCCTCTTTCCGCCTTGGCAGGTGTCGGCCATGTGTGAAGTTCCCCAGAGACAGGCAGGGGACCCTGGGAGCCACAGGGGTCTCCCTCATGCACTCAGAGCACTGGTTTCTTGGGGCCAGAGTGATCCAGGCTTTTCTTGCTGCCTCTTGCCCATGTGTGGCCAGGCATTTTCCAGACCTGCTGCTCAGCCCTACCTATCTGAGGCTTTGGGTTTTGAGTCCAAGTGGAACTCTGTGCACGTTGTCGGTGCCTAGAAAAACACTTGGCCCCGTGGCCGCCTTCTGGGGGCAGAGAGAGGATGCCTGGGAGAAGCCAACTGTTGGGACTTTATCCAGAGACACTGTAGTCTAGCATTGACTTGGGACCAGATGGTAGGTCTGTGATTATACCCGGTCGTTGGGATTATCTGTGTGATGTCCGCCTCTGTCCCCGAGAGCACAGCTCCCTGGAAGCTAGGACCCCAGCGCCCAGCACAGAGCCTGGCACAGAGCAGGTGGGGGGAAGTGTCTGTTAAATGAATGAGTGAATAGAAAAGCGCCCGTGCATGTGCACAGGCCAGGTGAGCCAGCAGGCGTCCTGGACTTCACCTGCGGGGCTAGGCCTGGCTCTGGGGCTGCCGCTGGCAGAGCCAGCCGAGGGCCCACTCCTTGATTTCCCCTTGATGTGCTCCACTGGCCTCTTGTTCTGCCCCTTCCTGAACGGAAAATGTGAGGCCTGGCCTCCAGAAGGGATGCGAGGGGGTGGGGAGCGGACATTACTCACCTCCCCGGCAGACAGGAAGCCAGCGCCAGGGGAGAGCAGAGGGTCCCGCTTCCCTCTTCCTGCACTGTTGTCTTCCTGCAGGGCCGTGGGGGTGGGGCTGGCTGGGCCGGATCCCTGGGCTGTCCTGGGGCCTTCCTTTCATAGCCTCTGGTTTGTGCCTCTGAGATGAGACCACTCCTCCAAGCCTTTGGGACCACCCCCCACTTTCCCCCTTCCCTCCCTCCAGTGCCCCATGCCAGCCCTTCTTGCCTCCCCTCCTGTGCCCATTACCAGGCAGTGAGGGGTCTTTAGTTCTCTTGGGGCTCCTAATCGGTTTTGTCATGCGAAGGCTGATAAGCCCTCTTCTGCCTTTGGGACAGAGAGGGACAGGGGCAAGGACCCAGGATCCCGGTGGGCTTGAAAGCTGCCTGAGGGCAGGCGTGCCTTTGGAGAAATGTATTTTCTGTTTCCCCTGGTTTCACAAGTATTAGATTTAGTGTAGAAAATTTAGAAAAAAATGGAGCAAAAAAAATCAAAATGACCAATATTTGGGGCATCTTTTTCTCAGTCTTTTCTGTGGACATAATAAAAGTCTTGTTTTCTTAAAAAAAAAAAAAAAAAGGCAGGGAGATCGTGTCGTGTTGCAACCCCTTTTTTCCTCCTAATGTCATTTGCCTCTCCTGTCCGTGATGTGGCGCTTTTTAAAGATGCCCAGTCATCCCAGTGACTGGAATCCCCATCCCCAAGCCAGCCGAGTGCTTGGAGCTCTGACCGAGCCTTTCCTACGGGGAAGGACATGTCCTCTCCTAAGGGGAAGTGACTCGCCCAGACTGCAAGTGACCACAAGGGTCTCTCTGACCCTGCAGCTGGCGTTAGGGTCATTCGTGGGAAGGACATGCAAGTCCCTCTTTTTCATTACCGCAAACGGAGCCACAGGGAGCCTCTGGGGGCCGAGGCCCTGCACCGGCCCAAGTG